GTTTTCCAACAAAAATTTTATCGGCAAGTATGAAATTTATAGAAAAATAGGGTGAAAATTGTATTTTTTCTAGTATTTTGGCTCATAACTTATCGAATAATAATTTTTCCCAAATATCATCCTATACTAAAATAAAGAGCATAAAAGTAGTATAGTTTGTCGCCGCCGTTTTTTGTGGCGCGGGGTTTTTGGGCCAACTCTCTGCCCATGCCTAATTGCTAGTACATCTACCATTCTCCTTTCTAGTTGATGTATTATATTTTTATCTTATCTATATAGTAGTTGTATGAGTTGTTTAATATTGTCAGTATAGTTTGTCGGTATTGTTTTTTGAGGCTCGACATTTTTTGGGACAACTCCCTGCCTTATGTCTAATTGCTAGTACATCTACCATTCACCCTTCCAGCTGATATATTATATTTCTATCTTATCTATGTATACATTAGTTGTGCGAGTTGTTTAATATCTTCATTCTCTTTTTTTTTTGCTATTTCAACCATAATGTATGTTATTGCTTTGAGAGTTATTACACTTGGTTTCTGCATATATCTTAGTATACGTAAATTTGTTCTTATTTAAATTACATGTTGACAATTTTTATCCTGCCTATGCTTTGTGGATTAGCTAAATGTGAGTCGTAATACATTTCTGCGAATCCGGGTTGTGGTCTAACGGTGTGACCCTCTTCCCATCAAGGATCTTTTAATCCCGCGGATTAGCCGAATGTGAGTCATAGCACACTTTTGCGAATCCGGGCATAGCACACTTTTGCGAATCCGGACATAGCACACTTTTGCGAATCCTGGTTGTGGTTATAACGGTTTTGTCCCTCTCCACATTTGTACAGTATAAAACATCAAGCTTTCATTTCGCCAGCCAGTATTCGTCTTGAGCCTCCACATACTAAGGTAAGATGTATTTTCTATATTTATTTCCTTTCCTTTAAAAACTAAAGACAACTTTTACGATTTTATCAGAATTAAACACTTCTTAATTTTGTTTTGGATAGCTGTATGATTTTTTTTTTTCTTCTAACGAATTTAAATATCTTTATGAATAATAGTAATACTTACTTAGTACTTATGTGATATGTCGTTGGCCGACAATGTCGGATAGACTGTGTTAATAAAAAATGAGGAGCGACAATGTAAATTAGGAGCGAGTAGTAGATAGATGGTTCAGTAACCGGAGCCTGATATAACTGTAAGCTTGTTGAGTAGTTGACCTTGACGCGGAAGAAAGCAAAAGTCTTTGATGTGTGGGCTATATGATCTTCTTTGGTCAGCCTTGTTTTAGATTAGGATGCCATTTTATGTTACTACTGATTGGTTAGCATATTTTAGTTTGATTTTATGTGTTTTGTTAGTTAGATGTGTCTTAAAACAAGACTCAGAAACATGATTTTAGGGTATTAATTAAAATGCTGCAGAAATTGTATACATCCACTATATTTTTTTAGCTTCTATAGACAAGACCCCTTTTAAAATATTACACATGTAAAGTTTTATTCTTTTTAGACTAGATTAAGTATTAATCTATAATATTTGTATTTTTAAGCTTGTTTGTGGTGGGGTCTTAGAACGAGACTACTATGCCAACCGTCAGGATCATTTCACTCTTCTTCTAATAATCTTTTAAGGTGTGTATTCACATATAATTTTTAGGAGTATAAATAAATGCATACAAATTCTTATCTTGAAAAGAACTATGTATCAGTCTGTTATACTTAAAACGTACATATATATCATAATATATCTATGACAGTGTTTTAAAAATCAATGAAAACATCGATAAAATTTTTACTTGGGCTGATAAACATGGAAACAAGACCAATTATAATTTACCATTCATGTTTACGAAACTCAATTGAATTTGACATAGTGAACTCAGTAACAATAAATGTGACAGCTTTACTTTACCATGGTAAATAAAAAAAAATATAAGACACTAAACTCGACACTTGTTATTTGTATTTGTTATTTAGATGAGTCTTAAAACATGACTAGTGTGTGGACCCAGAAGTCCTCTATTAAAATGCGATTTTAGGCTATTAATTAAAATGCAGTAGAAATCGTATACATTCACTATATTTTCTTAGTTTCTATAAACAAGACCCCTTTTAAAAGCTTTCTACATGTAAAATTTTATTCTTTTTTAGGCTAGATTATGTATTAATCCTTAATATTTGTATTTTAAGGTTGTGTGTGTGGGGTCTTAAAACGAGACTACTATGCCAGCCGTCAAGATTATTTCCCCCTTCTTCTAATAATCTTTTAAGGTGTGTATTAATTTTAGCATTTATTTTTATGCATATAAATTCTCATCTTAAAAAGAACTAAGTATTAGTCTGTTATACGTAAAAACTTACATATATATCATCTAGGTCACTTACTCGGGAGATGTATTAGTGGGCATAAGTAAAAGTTGTTTGTATCAATCTATTCACTGCAGAAGTTACAGATTTTTTTTCTTTTTACCTTTACACTTCACTAGAGCAAACTCTGTGATCAATGATGTGACTTGCTAATAGCAGTGATGCTCTCTAATAAACTTTTAAATATAGCTTAAGATGTGATGAGTGTATTGACCCTTTTTGTGTTGATTCTAAATTATCAGGTGTGTGAGTGTTTGCGAGTGTATGTAAATGCGTGTGTGTGTGAGAGGTGTTAGTATTCTATGTTTTACAAATTTAATGGTATTTGTTTCGCATTAAATGTTGTAAATAGATTGCAGAATAATATTACACAGTATAATATGATTAGATTTTTATCCAGAGGATGTGGACGTATAAATAAACCATTTTAATTTTACATTGACAATGCTCTTTACATTTAATTTCTATTTTATTCTCAGATAATTGTATGTTAAACATTACTTCATTGACTTTAAATACAGAAGGAGACTCTCCATCCTCTCATGATAAAGTATTCTGACTTTTTTTTTATTAGTTTCACAGTGCAAAGGGTAGTATTTACAGCTGTTAACACACTTGATCGTCAATAAAATGAGATAGAAAATAAACATAAGCTTCTGACATGTAGAGTTATCACTTTTAAATCCTATTAGATATGATAAGGGGAAAAGGTCCATATGGCTGGATCCTTCTATATATAAAGTCAATGCTTAACATACAAGATTATATATTTCTCTAAAGGTCTCTCTTTTTTTTACTGCTCGTGTGTATTTTGACCCCATATTTTTTATCAGTTAGAGAAAATGATAATATTTCAAGAAGTCAATTCTAATTTATTTTGTTAATATTTCAGACTATGTGACATCTCACGTTTTGCCGTAACATCCCAGTTGGATGGTTTTGTAGCTGTAGCTGCTGCTTCTATGTAAGTATATATCTTTTATTATTTCACTATATAGCCTTTTTTTCTGCATTCTGTCGAGACATCTATATAGCTGATTCTTTGTGTCAAAATTGTGGGCGTAGAACAATGGGAGACGGCTTAAATTAAAGGTCTCTATCCTGTGACGGCCGGAAATATAGAGGCATTCCCAAAATTTAGAAGTAACATAAAATGTTCTATATAATTTGATTACGCTATATTTACAAGTCAGTATTTAATACATGCAGTTGGTTTACTTTTTAGCCAGTTAACTCAGCAATGTATTGTACACTATATTAAAACCGGGGATAATGGTTATCTGTAATTGTGCTTTGTGTCAACTGCCAATATATTGGCTAATAAAACTGTTCGTTTTATATAGTACTAATAGTACTAAGTTTTATCACGATTGGATGCATAAAGGACAAATAGATACACACAGAGAGACTTTTTAAAGCAAAGATATTATGATGTACAGACATTATTTATTTGTAATTATTTACTTGACAAATAAATAATTTTATTCTTAATTTGTTTGAATATTAAAATATGTTTTACATTTTGAGATTTTTAGGGACTTATACACCTAGTAATTTATTAATAACCGACTAAGATGATTTAATTCTCTGCAAAATTTCAAATTGTATAAATTTACACGCAAGTAACTAAAATTCTCTATATGACACCACAACGGAGTATGGCTCCATAACAGTTAATAACGGTGGTCCTTCTTAAATGACGGTCGCGAGTATGTCTGTACCAAAGAGTCTGCCAAGGTTGCTGACCTTGCGCTACAAACTGGTTGTTAAAAGTGAGAGTTATAAGGATGTTGACTCAGGCTCCCACTATCTGTCGTGTTTACGGTTCTAAATATTGGAGTTCTTGCTGCTAAATATTTAGTATCGTGTTGTATAGTCGTGTATAAATTAATAGTTCCTAGTAAAATATACATTTTAGTATCAAAATATTAGTATTTTTTTTTTGTTTGGTCACAGGTATTGGGAACATGATGGCGTCAACAAGTACAGCCTAAATTGAATGTGACCTCTGTCCAAATTACATTTTCTCAACACCGGGCGAGTTAGAATCCCATTTTGAAGACTCCCACCCAGACAGGTTTTACTGCACCATTTGTTTTACTCTCAGGATTGTGAAGCATTTTAATGAAAGGCATCGTTTAAATGATCATATTAAAGATTACCATTCGGGTAAAAGTTTTCCTTGTACATTCCCAGGCTGTGGAAAGACGTATTCTAACAAGAAGAATTTAACACGACATTTTAAAGTCAATCATATAAAGAAGACTGATGAGCATAAATGTCCCATTTGCAAACATATATTTCCGCGTCATGACACATATTTAAGACACACCAGAACTTGCAACAAAAAGGCTAAGCGTCAGTATAAATGTTTGGAAGAAATGTGTGAAACCATATTCTCTACACTTAAATCCTAC